TATGATCTCTTAAGAGGATGGTTTTTGAAGGTTTTCTCGTGGTGATGAGTTTTCTGTTGGGTTTTGAACATTTTGTTATGGTGATAGTTTTGAGATGTGTGGCAATGGTGGCAGGATAAAATCCATTACAAATTTCTGTATCCTTATCTCTAATGTAGGTTCCCTCTAAAGATACGGTTGGGTGAAATATGATTCTTATTCAACAAATGTAACTTCCGCAAATGCATAGAATTTTTAGGTAGATGGATGATAATATTTGTACCATTTTTAAGAGAAATATCTTACAAATGCACATTCGAGAGCTCGCGAATCAAGTTTGTTTCATTGGCAAGAATGAATATGAACAAAGACAACACATCCAAATATTCGAGGGATTATATGGTTTGTAACACTTACTATTGGATAAAAATGCTGAAGTGTTTGAAGAGCACTTTTGAAGTCGAGAATACTTGTGAGCAGACGATTAGTAATATAAGTGACAGTAAGAACATCTTCGCCCCAATATTGTTCTTAGACATTTTTTGGAAGATAAATGCTCTTGTGGTGGTTGAAAGGTGACGAGTCTTGCATTTCGCTACTTCGATCTATAATGGAATGTGGACGCAAGATGATTCCTGAAGGATTCATTTCTGATGGAAGAATGAGGAAAGTGTCTGATTGAAAGTTTTTTTGGCATTATTGCTATGGACTTTCTTTATGAATGTTCCAAATTGAGTTTTTATCATATTGCAGAACTGAGATATAATATGACTAACATTATATTTGACTTTGAGTTAAAATAGCCAGGTTGTTCTAATGCAATCGTCAATAAATAACATAAATCATCGAGTCTCAGGATTATTAAGTATGTAAGATGGTCCTGAGTATTGCTATGAATTAATAAAAAGGAAACCAAATTTCGTTTATTACTATTGGAAAATGTCACACATTTATGTTTTGTAAACTCACAGATATCATAGTGTAAATTTTCATATTCCGAATTCTTAAATAATAAGGGGAACATCACCTTTAAGATGGAGAAGGTCGGTAGTAATAGTAGAGAAGGATCCCTTAAGTACATCCAGTAGTAGAGTTCGTTTTTGCCACCAGCGTATCGAATTATTTTTTCTGAATTTTGGTCCTTATAATCATAGTGAGAGGAGTCAAACATTACTTTGCAATTTAAGTCTTGTGATAATTTACTAACTGACGCACAAGACTAGTGCATAATTTGAGGATATGTGATATATTTTTCAGGAAAATGGTAAGATTAAACTTAATGTTGCCGAGAGAATCATATGTATTGATAATATTTCTATTAGTTGGATATGGAATCTGCTTATAAAAATGTTTAAAAGTATTGGTCATATGAGATGTGACTCGTGAGTCTATAATGTAAGAGTTTTCAAAGGATTTATCTGAACATTTAATTCTTGTAAGATAGAAGTCATCTATGAGTTTGCCAATTAATTGATACCTATTTGTTTCTTTACGGACTCAAGTCGTGCTCTTAATCTTTTAATATAGCTACGTGTGTAAAACACTGATTCTTCACTGAGTCAACTCAACAATTTCACCTTGACTTAACTCGACTTGGATCAGGATAGGAGTTTAGACACGGGTATTGGCAGCCAAAGTGTACGTGTTTGTACATAAAGAGTTGCGATAGAAATGAGCTGAAGATGATGTGGGGTGACGACTGTGGCTACTTGGAACTATGGCAATGAAGGGAGAAATAGTGACTTTTAGGACTGACTATGAAGGAGGGTTGGTGGTAGAGGTGGCTGGTTATGTGGTGATCCACGATAGGAGCGTGTTGGCCGACCTCTTTCAGCCTTTTATTTTGCCTAATGAAGGCTGAATATAGTTTGTGAAAGAGTTTAGAAATTTGTTACCTAGAGTGTTGACATCATGTTAAGAATGATTTTTAATGATGTATATTCTATTGAATATTACAATTATACATCTACATATTTTATAGATCGAAAAAGAAAATAAATAATTAATTACAATTAATTATAAAAGATATTATTTTCTTCTTTAACTTGATTTATTTCATCTTTAACAGATTGATTTATTTTCTCCATAACATCCTGATTTATTTTTTCTTTAATAGCCTGGTTTACTTACTCTTTAATACTATAATTTTCTTCTTCTCTAACAATCCCTAATAGTGAGCTTATTCTTTGGAATTTTCCTTGTGTATAACGTCACCAATTTGTAGCCATTGTCTCTCCTCCTGTGTGAACTCTCTATCTGTTCAGCTAGCACCGATTCCTGTCTGGTATCCTTCAGCACCGTGATCTCTACCAGACTCACCTCTAGACGTCCTTCTGACGCTTTGACCAGGGCATTCGATCCATCTTCCATGTCTTGGACACCCTTCTCTTTCCCGTTGCCCAAACAAACCTCTTTGCTGCTTTTGCCAATACCTACCATCGGACTGCTTCAGTTACTGCCACCATAGACACTGCTGTGGTCTCCAGCCCCCGATCCAATGCCTCCTTTGTCTACACCATATCCAGCTTAGCCTGTCTCTCTCTACCCTGATAGCTTTTACGGGTCTTAGGGTATTTTTCTAGGATGGGAAAATGGTTGAACCCGAGACCCAGACTTTTAGTCTCCTAGTTGACCCACTCTCCATGGCTTACTTGCCCTTCTTAACCCATGGAAACTTCCTACCCAGTCCCACTCCCTTCTTGGTTCACCTGTTGGCCCATTTCTGATCTTTCAGCCCATATTTTCTCCAAAACAATGTTGTCTAGCAACCATAAATTTCCCACTGAAACTACATCGCTTAGCAACATCAAATCTCCCACCAAAATGTCTGCTTCCAGCTGTGTTCAGGTAAAAATTTCTTTGAATTTTGAAATTCAAATTGACTCGGTCAAGACCAAGTGCAGATCTCTTCTTCTCAACCTGATGTTCTTCCTTCGACTGCCTCTTCATTGCTTTTGCATATTCATGCCCTGTGTCGGCTCCAGCTTCACCCTCAGTTTCGAGCTACAAATTGGACAACAAAGTGCTGTCGGTGCCACCTTTAACCTTCATGAGTAACATTGAGCAGCGCCACTTTCATCAGCCCTCATTTTCTGCCCACTCTTGGTGGCTCGAACTTTTTCCCCACCACCTCGTGTAACACCATCATTCACCTCCACCACCCATCTATTTGCTCCTCCTCCAGCACAAAGGTATGTTTGACTTTGCCCATTATCCTCGGTTATTTTTAGATATTTTCCATGCCAGTTGTGACTCAACGCCATCCACATGCCGTGTCTTCTCCCTCGCATATTCTGGCCCCGGGCCTTCCTGCCCTTTCTCCAGAAGAACTCTTTGAAAATCTCCAACAGCCACTCTACATCCTCCTCCCAACACAGAATAGAGTTTCGAAAACCCTCCATTCTCGGAAACCTGTACAGCTTTCTTGCCATTTTCTGCCTCCATGACGTTGAAGGGCGTGTTTTCGATGACCAGGAAGCATCTGCCATGACGTAGCATGTCGCAGCCCTTGGAGCGTCACCGTCCTCAAACTAGACTTTAGCCACCTAGCTGCCGCCCGTCTTCAATCCAGCATCTCTCACCAATGACATATGAAGGGAAAAGCCAAGAACATATAAAAGTATCAAATAAATGGGTCTGATGTCTCCATGCCAGTTCAAAATACAAGAAAAGGTGGCTATTCAGCAACTTCGAAACATACAACGCATACTCTAGGGAAAGAGTACAATCCTACCTACGAGCTTGCTGCATATCACTAGTATTAAGAAAACTAAACTTCCAATAAGTACCTTAACCTTATATGTAGTATGGACCTTTTGAAAAGGGTTACAAAAGAGTCAAATTAAGTGATAAGAAAGCTAAAAATGAGAAAGATATGCAGTTTAAATTGCCAGAAGAGTCCAAGGACTAAACTTTACAATCATGAATTTGACTAGCAAGATCCCAATCTCTAAGGCCACAACAATGTCATCCCATGATGTGAAATGGGAATAAGCTAATGGAATGTTCGTAGTCCAACAAGAATCTTCTCTTCCTGATTCCTTTGGGCATTACATGGGTTATGTGGAGAGGAATAAACTGAAGAACTTTTAGGGCATTTGCTGTTTTGATAAAATTAGAGATCATTTGGGACATACCTTATCCATCTTTCCTATAGGTCCCGTCTCCTTGATGGAGAGATGTAGGGAACTTTATTGATATTTTGACTTCCTATGTTTTCTAAGTTCCGTTGCACATGGGTGGACCTTTGTTGCTATGACTTCTCTTTTCTTCGAGTAAATTCTCAAATCCCTTAAGTCAAGTCAAGTAGTGTTATTACAGTGGTTAGTTACACATGTTTTTAGGGACTAAAGTAGCTTAAGTACTCCTTCATGGCTGATATAGTACCATCTAGCAGGGTAAATCTTGGGAATTTGAAACAAAGTGCTCTGTGGATTTGCATTTCCCTAATGCTAACTCTCTCTTCACGTAGGCACTATAATAGATAAGTTTTATCAGCCTACTAAAACATGAAATTTCTTGAGATTTCTTTTGAGTAATAAATTATCTAATGCCTTCTAAATATGCATATGAAACAATAACTTATATTATGATCATCTCCTGCAGTGCCAACTATTTTCAAAAAGTTTTGACGTTCTTTATTAAACTGTAGATTATAAATATTAGTTGTAATTTTTTGTGCTTCTTTGTTGATACTGTGAAGCTTCAATGCTTGTCTGTTGATACTTTGGCCTTCTGATCTTATGAACACAATGCAATTCTCATAAGCATTCTTAAATATTTGACAGTTTCTGATGTTTGCTGTGTAATTTATATATGAGTCTATAGCGAAAGAAAAAAAAAAAGAGTTGAATTGCTTGCTGACATGCCATTTTCATTTCCCTTTTTCTCATGCCGTGGATGGTTGGAGGAGGGGGGGTGGGGGGGGTGTACACCTTTTGCATCTACTGCAACTACAGTAAATGAGAAGGATAAATTCTAACTATTAGTTTAATAAAATCTTGATATTTGCTTTTGGGCAGTGAAGGGGATGAATTTAGTAAGGGAACTGGAGAAGGATTTGAAGGTCGCAAATGTCATATGCATGGTAAGCATTTGAATGGCTTTTCATTAAATTGAATATGACCTTCGGCTCTAGTGAGCCTTGCAATCTTTTGTTAGTACCATGTGGGTGAAGGTTACTGTTTTTACTATTTATTCTGCTACTTCTCAATATGGGTCTCATTATTGTTATTATGGAACTCAGAATGGAAGAAGGCACTTAAGTTCGTCAATGAATGAGGTTTCAAGGGATCTAATTGTAAATTCTAATTCCAAAAAGAAACAAGCTCTTCTGGTACATCTCTCTCTCTTCACACACCTTGGCAACTAAGGCCTTTGCCTTTGACTGTATGATTTTCATTTCTTTTTCTCTTTTTTCATTGCTTTTCTCCAGAAGCAATGGTGCTTTCTACTTTTGGTGCATTATTTACAGAAAAATATTTTTTCATTGAATTTTTTTTACTTTTCATCGAGAAGTTCTTCTACTCTGCGGGCATTTGGTTTTTGTTTTGTAAGATGGATGGGATCGTTTTGATATTGGCTTCATGTCCTTTCAGGACATGCTTCCAGTGCTAACTGATCTTCTTCATGCTCGGAACATGCAATTAGCCCTTGAATCACTTGTTGAGGAAGGGAATTATTGCAAGGTGAGTCAATGCACTTTGTGGTATCTTCAATTTCTTTTTCTTGTTTAATGTTATGATCATATTATTTAGATGTAGCATGGCAAAGGATGCCCATTAAATTTTTAAGACTTTGCAGGCATTTCAAGTACTGTCTGAGTATTTGCAATTGCTAGATAGTTTTTCGGAGCTCTCGGCAATACAAGAGATGAGCCGTGGTGTTGAGGTGAATTTTTTATTTCAAAAGAGAGCTTTTCGTTGTTATTAGAAAGAGGAATAAAAATAGAATAACTTCTTTCAAATTACATGTTTTTTAAGAATCTTATGTGAGTCTTCTGATGTTAATGTTTATGAGGGTACATCATTTTGTGGAAAAAGGATTTTCTTGTTCAGTAACTCATTGTATGGCTTGAAGATAAAAAGAATTAGCATATGGATTAAAACATCTGATTGAGCTCCTTTTACTTCTCAAGGTTTGGCTGGGAAGAACTCTTCATAGGCTGGACTCGCTTTTGTTGGGAGTGTGCCAAGAGTTTAAAGAGGAGAGTTATTTAATGGTGAATAACAATTTGTTTTTGATGCCTTTCTTTCATCTAATGCATGTATAAACTTGATATTTGCTGATTCTTAGAAGCTCTTTCATCTAGAGTAGTGCGTGTATATACTTAATTGCTCTGTTTATCTTTCCATCTAAAAGTTCTTTCATCTAGAGTAGTGCATGTATATACTTAATTGGTATGTTTATCTTTCCGTCTAAAGTCTCTTTCAATTAAAGTACTGTTGACTTGAGCTCCATATTTTTGTTCAAAGCCCTAATTTGTTTTTGCTTTGCACTTCTTTTGCTCATTGTTGGATTTGTCACTCATTTTCATGTTATCTAGCCTATGCAAAGCCACCTTTGTCTTGCAGTATTTGTGTTTGTCAATAGTCTAGCAGATTCTGTTTTGCATGTGGAGGGTCATGTTAAAGTATATATAATGAGATTGCTTGCTTTTCCTTTAGCTTTAAGATTTTGAAGTTACTGTATTTGTAGGCTTAATCTAGTTGTTGGTGAACCACTGAATCTGAGTAAAAATATGAGTTTGAACCCTCTCTTCCCTGCAGTTCTTCTACAATTAAAAGAAAACTTTTGGAAAATTGTTTTGCTCAACCTATCAGTTTAATAATTTCCAAGGTGATTTCTAAGCATCTCCTAAGTGAAGTCATTTTGAAGGACCCTAAAATAAGGTCTCATGGCATAAACTTGAGTTTTTGTTTTAGCTTCTGCCTGAGTGTATGGGTTTCTATATGTTTCTGTTACCAGTTTTAGCCAGTTATATTTAGATAATATTACAATGCTTTTCAGGTGCTGGACGCATATGCATTAATTGGAGACGTTGCTGGTCTTGCTGAAAAGATACAGAGCTTTTTTATGCAAGAAGTTATCTCAGAAACCCATTCTGTTTTGAAGGGCATTTTACAAGAGGTGAGTCAGCAAAATAATTCATTCACACATATCAGATTTGTTTGCAGAAGTAGTGGGGCAACTCTAAAATAAACTTTAGTACGTTTTTTTGGTGTGATTTATGATAAGGTTGTCTTTTCCTCTACGATTCTATAAATAATAGGGCACCATTTTTAATTTTCTTTTGTGCTGGGGAAATTACAGAAAACTCTACTTATATTTTGCCTTAATTACAAAACCCACACTCTATTGGAGCTTTTTGGTTTGACTTGTCTTTATTTGTTATTTTCTATTTTTAACATACAAGTAGTAAGATTTATAAGCTAATAAAACTTATAACCACTTGAAAAGTAAGTGAAAATGTTTTTGGTTAAATTTATTTTTATTTAACTTATAAGCTCCAAATAAATATTGAGTGTGCTAAAAAAAGTGTTAATTTAAATATTAGCAAAATGACTACAAAATACAAATAAAAAATTTAATGTTTCTAATTGCGGTATTTGGTCAAAATCATAATTGATAGAATTAACTTTCCATGGTGGCTTGTAAGTAAAAAAAAAAAGGTAGATATTTTAACTTTTTTTGGCTTCAAAGCCAATTGTTTATGTCAAATGGGGCAAAAGATAGTATGAGTGGTCCTATATAGAGAAAGTCCAGGTTGATGCAGAGAGGGAACAAGAATAAGAATAAGATTGACGCAGAAACAGAAACAGAAGCCTAGCCAAACAAGCCCTTATCAATTTCCTAGGAACAAGAATAAGATTGGAGTAAACATGACCATTATACTTTAAGGGCAACTAACTATGAATAAAGAAGACAAAGTACAAACTTTGTACTGTTTTTGCCTACCCTTCTGGTCTTTCTGTTTTATAATTCAAGGCTATGCATTTTTTTTTTGTTGGTGCTCCTTTTCTTCTATTTCATTGTTCCGTTAGAAAATGAAAGGACTGCTTCACCAGCATAATTATTGACTTTTTCAGGACAGGGACGCGCAAATGCAAAATAGTAGGTATGTCGCTTTTGCGTATTTTGTCTTCTCTAATTTTAATAGCTATTCATTTATTCACAAGAGCTTTCCACATTTGATATGCTTCCTAATTTATTTTAGTTTGATTTCAGACTTACCTACAGTGATCTATGCCTTCAGATATCAGAATCTAAGTTTAGGCAGTGTCTACTAAGAACACTAGCTGTCTTGTTTCAGTTGATTTGTTCATATCATGAAATCATGACATTCCAGCTACAGAACGAGGTAATTTCATTTGCTTTGTTTTCAACAAGGTTTTTGTTGGTTCTCAAATTCTCTCCTACTTTCTTTATTCCATATGTAATTGTTACTTTGGACTAGATAACTGTAGAGGGAAATTGACTAATTTTGGGCTCTATTTTTATTGTTTACAATTTTTCGATAATTTTTACCTCGACCTATTCTTCATAAGGTATTAGATGGAGTTCGTTCGTTCAAAAATTAGAGCTTTCACTCTCTACTCTTGTTTTTTGTTGGGGAAAAAAAGAAGGCCATTCATTGGTTTTTTGTGGTTTCCATCTGTGTACAAAAGGATTCATAATGGCCATCAAATGAAATCTCTACAAGGTTCTATGATTTTCTTCATATAGAAGAGGATGGACCTTGGACAACATATAGACTCGGGGATGTAGAGAAAAAAATTAGAGAAATACTACTATAGTTATTGCGGAATTTAGGGACTAACTTAATTTCTTATTGAAAAAGAGTATATATATAGGTATATTTAACTAGTACAAAGAGAAATAATAGGAAACTGACTGCAAGAAGTCAAATCAAATTAAAACTGTCTATGAGATTTCCCAACCGACATTTGATACTTTTAGGAAGATTAATTTCCACTATTAAGATAGAAAATTGAAAGGATTTACTAACACTCCTCAAGCTGGTTTTTTTTTTTTTTGGAGATAAAAGTGAGTAATATATAAAGGACGCCAAGGCGGCGTAACCCTTGTACAAGTTGACAGAAATTTACAGATCTGTGAGCATATCTAAAACAGATTCAAAATTATAAAAAGAATCAAGGTTGTGACCAAGTACAATAGAACAAAAAAAAATGGAGTTACCTATCCTTCATAACGGCAAAGTTAGTTTCTCTACCCTAAAAAATCCTACCTGTCTTTCCATATAATCCATAGTATTGTTAGAGGAATTACTCTATGCCCCTTGTTACTCGTCTTGAGGCCTTCCCAATTCTGGTTGGACCCATGGATGGTGGGGGGTCTGCCGTGTAGACAATTTCCTCAGATTTTTGCCATTGCTCAGAATAGGAATGTAAAGGTTGGTGAATGCTTTAGAAGAGGTAATGGAGCTGTTGTGAATTGGCAAACCATGGTCCCTAGAAGACTGAATGATTGGGAAATTGATAAATATGAACTAATGTTCAGCATACTATCAAACATTTCTCTCTAGGAGGACAACCGGAGGTGGAGTCTCTCAAAGAAAGGTCTATTTTTTGTTAAATCTTGGTATAAATGGATGACTAGAGTTGATGATAATGCTGATCCTTTTCCTCACAAACTGATCTGGAAAGTTAAACTCCCACCAAGGATTTCCTTCTTTGCTTGGGATGCCAGCATAGAATGCATATTGACAATTGATAAATTAAGGAGGGGCATGTGTTAGTCAATGCTTGTTATCTATGTAAAAAGGCAGAAGAGAGTTGTGACCATTTATTATTATGGTGTTCTATGGCTTTCAGTTTGTGGATGCTGACTTACAAAACTTTAGGTATTGATTGGGTTATGGTGGGGTCAGTTAAAGAGGAGTTGTTGGCGTGGAAATATTTGCACTGGAGGTATCCTTACTGCGAAGTGATGTCTCTCACCATTATCTAGACGGTGTGAAAGGAAATATTTACATGGGAGGTATCACACTTGCTCAATTTGCAGGCCAAGTTTTGAAAAGTCATCCTACAGTTTACTAAGGGGTCCAAAAAAAGACTAGAAAAGGCTGGTTGGAGCGGCTTACGCGAGAAAAAAGCAGATTTGCATTGGATATCGAAACTAGAGGCGGATGCGTGTAGAAGAGATAGAAATAAGACCAGAAAAGGCTAGTCGAAGCGGCTCTCATGCGAAGAAGGTCTGGATGCAAAATCAGAGGCGACTGTGCACAGAGGAGCTCGAAAAAGGAGCAGAAAAGCCTTGTCGGGGCAGCTAGCACGCGGAGGAAACAGATCTGTCTGGCAAGGTAACGGCTTGTGTAGGCTCAGCTCGGCTCAGGCACAGATGGCTCGGCTTTGTTTAGGGCAGCAACTCGGTTCGGGCTTGGCTCGGATTGGCTTTGCCTCGGCTCAAACAAACTAGATCGTTCAGCTTTGCTCAAAGGGAAGCAGATCGTGCTACGAGGCCAAAAAGTGGATTGCACGATGAGGCTAGAAAGTGGATCGTGTGGCGAGACTAGAAAGCGGATCGTGCGGTGAAGCAAGAAGGCAGATTGTGCAGCAAGGCCAGAAAGCGGATTGTGTCGGCTTTACGCGCGTGCCTGTAGTGGGAAGAGGTAGATCTGCAACAGGAAGATAGATTTGTTTCTTGTGTGCAACGCGATTTGGGAATAGACCCGACTGGAGAAGAAGAATCTAAGGCTGTCGATGGAAGAATCGCCGCGATGCGAGTCGGGTTGCAAATTTTTTGGCGGCATGTGGCGGTTCTGGCGGCGGCAATGGCAGTCCAGTGGTAGTGCGAGTTCCGTCTGAGTATGTGGTGGGAGTAGATCTTGATAAGTGGGTACTAACCCAATTTATTGTGTTATTTTAGGATTTGAAGGAAATCTTGAAATTATAACTCAAAAATAACTTTATTTGGCTATGACATCATGTTGATTTTAGAGAAAAAATATAAACTTTATTTCTCACCCTTTATGTTGTTATACCTCAAGTATTTATAGAATTCTTAACTTACTAATAAGGAAATTATTGTTTTACTAGAATTTCAATTATATGAAATTATTATTTTAATAGAATTCTAATTATATCATCTTAACTACTTAAATAATAAAATAATTAAATAATGAAATATGCTACTCAACACTTATTTTTTCAAAAGATCATAAAGTTCTTTTGTAACAAGTCCTAATTTACTTTAATGTAGGTGAAGGTAGGAAAACTCTAAACACTAAAAAATTCTGTAGATTTTGATATTAATCGTCCCATAACTAGATTTATTAGCTGGACTGTAACAATATGGAGTCAGAGCTTGGAGTTATGGACAATTCGCAATCTATGTTCAAGCCTTTTTTTAAGAGATATCAAGAACATCGTGAATAGGTTTGTATCCAATTTAAGATCTTGAATGGGCCCCTATAGGAACTATCTGTAGGCCGAACTGATAAGAGGCAAAACAGAGAAGGCAGTGTAGAGCTTGGGCTCCAATATCACCTCAGCAAAGAGCATGTGGCCAATAAGTTTGCTCCTTTTATTTCAAGGAACCCTAAATTAGATTTTTCATATTTTGATGGTTCTTTGGATCAGTCATTGTGAACAATTTTTTTGCCCTCAAATGACCGCAGAGGAGGAAAAAGTCTCCTTAGCTTCCTTCCATTTTGAAGATGAAGCCCAATTGTGGTTTCTGAAATCAGAAAGAGACCAGCCAAGTTTGAATTGGGAAAATTTCAAATATTTTTGTCAATTATGTTTTTGACCACCAATATGGAGTAACAAATTAGGGAAACTCATTAAGTGACAACAACAAGCCATCAACGCAAAATATCAATATCAGTTTGAACTTCTTTAATGCAGAACCTATGATTAACTATACAATCCAAAACCCACACATGCACAATTAGTACCAAAAACTTATTCTCCGATTAATGTTTCTTTAATTAATCAACAATCAACCTGTGATTGGTACTGAGATAATTGAGATAAATGAATTGATTAAAATTTCATAAAAAAACTTTAATGAGTTAAAATCAATTCAAGAAAAGAGATTGATGAAAACAGTATAAGTTATTTTGATAAGTAAATACCAATTCCCCACTCAACAAAAAGATTGAAAAAAAGTCACAAGTTGACAAGTTAGAAAGTTTTATATTTTATTGACTTTTGTGGACATAAATATTTTGTTACCTAAATAATTGTGATATTTTTTTTTATATAGCTCTCACCATTGATTTCTTGTATTATTTAGAATCCCTATTATAAGAAAAATTTTCTTATTTGTACTTAGAAATTCTTGTATATATATGAGTTATTTGTAACACCAAAAAGATAGTGAAAATAAAGTAAATATATTTTTCTAAATTTATACAACTTTAAACTTGAATTCCTACAACTAAATTTTAGAGATCTATTTATAGTTGAAGCCATTAAGTTACAATTGGAAACTAGATTTCCTAATTGATTACAATTACTTGACTGGGAAATCAAATCAATAATAAAAAATTAATAAACTATATATTAGAAAGATTTAAACCAGTAGTGGAGATATGGCCGACTTCCTGAGGAAACCAAATTAATTTGATGAAGATTTTGAATGGAAATGGAAACAAGGTTAGCCATCCTTGAAAATAGGAATGCCCATGATCTCCCTTAATCTATCCATAATCTCCCTTGAACACCCGCGAAAATCTTGTGCTTAAATGCTTGGGATGTTGGTTGCCTTATTTGGAAGATATGATTGGCTTGGAAGATCCTTCCTTGATTGATTGCGGATTTTCCTTGATTTTTGTGGAATTTAGTTGTTGCTTTAAGGAGATATAGAGAAGAAAAGAAAACTTTCTTGCTTGAGAGAAAAATCTCTCTTGGGCGGGAAAATTCTCTCTCAAGTTAGAGAGATTTTCTATCTTTGCTCTCGGGTTTCTTGGTCTTTTGGCTTCTTTAGAGGCCGCTTCTTCCCTTGGCTTGGTGGACTCGGCCTCCCCCTTTCGAGGCCTTTAAAGTTTGGATCAATACTTATTCTTTCATGGATCCATCCCTTAATATAAATAAGAAAGTCTTCCTTAAGTTTCTTGGCCATATTCTTGTGTTGGTCTACTTGTCATTAGGATATTTTTTCCATGTGTTCCACGTCCATCATAAGAGGCGTCCTAACTTTGCTTTCCTTCTTGTGGGTGTTGTTTATTGCCCAAACCGCTTTGATCTACAATAGGACAACCCTTATCGCTTGGATCTTCCTTTAGATAGTCATTGCCACATGGATCTTCCTCTTTGCCCCTTGAATCTTGTTTTGGATAGGTTTGGTCGCTTGAAGCTTCCTTTGGATGGGTTTGGCCACTTGGAGCTTCTTTGGATTGACCAAGTCGTGACCTCCTGGACTTCAAGAGGCCAAATTGTGACTGCCTAGACTTGATTGGTTTCTTGTATAGTCCAAATCGTCCATGCTCACATTATTCTTTCTGCACAAGGCAATGCTCTCACATTGGAACTGGAAGTGGAAAATTTTGTAAATATTCAGAATTTCTTTCCGTAATTCTTACATGGTATCAGAGTTAAGGTTAGGATTGGAGTTTTAGGGGTCAAAATTACATCAAAGGAAAAGAAAGGTTGAACAACCCATTCCCGATGCCGGAAAAAGACAACTACCGATCTCCAACTAGCTCAGAGTGCGGCCAGCACGTTGGTGTACGCAGGAGAAGCTGAGGAGACAGTTTGCGCGGCGGATTATGGCTGCGTGCGTCAGGTTTGACGGAGGAGGGCATTCCCATGCATGTTGGTTTTCCGTTCGAGAAAAGGAGCCACGAAGGAGCTCGGTCGGCCGGTTTTGTGCACGAAACCAGAAGGCCAAAGAAGGAAAAGCTGTAGCAGAGGAGGTCGCGCGACAGCAAGCGATTCTCCGCTTTTCGGTGTGATTTAGAGTGTTTCTGCGAGCGCCATTCCAGATTAGGGTATACATTGGGGTTCTGTGGTAATTTTTGGCCGAAAGAAGGAATTTTGGTGATTTCTAGCGGCGGCGTGTGATTTTCCGGCGATTGTGCGTGAACTCCCAGTGGCAGCAGTTGATTTTCATTGTTTCCGTGTGTGAAGAGATATTTTGTTTTTTCATAATTTTTGACTTATTAGATGTGCTTTTCGGATATTTTTTACTATTGTGTTT